AAAGACAATTGAGGTTCCAGTGAATTAAAGTTGAGCTGGCAAACTTTCAGTCATCGCTGTAAACTATATTAAAATTAAATGATAAATTAGAGTCATCTAAAATAGTTATCAGCACCACAGTAGATAGAGAAAGCTGCAGTTCAATTCTTACTATCTTGGATCCTTTAATTTTGTTCAGGCAGTCTACCATACATATTGTACTTGTATTGTAGGTTAGTCATTTTTACACTGAGACCTTGCAGGAAATGCTGTAACCAACTATCACAAGTTGGTTAATATTCTTAACATAGAATCCTTTTCTAATACAATACACCCCATTATTAAGTGAGTTTGTTAATAACATAGGTCTCCTGTGGACCTTCCACCACAGATCGACTATCTACCTGAGCATGTGCAAAAGAAGTTGGTGTGTTAAGTCTCAACCACCCCGACAACAATAGTGCCCTCTATGCAGGGTAGCATCTTAGAGTGCTCAACAGTGGCAGACCCCCAAGTGGGGGGGAGGGGGGGAAGGTGACCAGAAGCACGGTGGAAAGAAAGGTTTTCAGGTGGGACTTGAAAAAGGGGAAGGGGCAAGGTGGAGGGATTGAGCGAGTATTCCAGAGTTTCAGGGCTAGTGACTGAAAGTGTAACCTCCAATGGTGGAGAGGAGAGTGCGAAGAACAAATAGGAGGCCAGTGCCAGTCGAACGGAGGTGCAGGGTAGTGGATTGGAGAGTGAGGGGGTCAGGGATGTAGGGAGGTGCCAGAGATTGAAGGGATTTGAACCAAGTGTGAGGATCTTGAAGACGATCGATTGGGTGATGGGGAGCCAGTGGAGCCTGGCCAAAACTTGGTCCAGGTAAGTATGCAGGAGGCAGAATTCTGAATGTGCTGGATTTTTTTGAATAGTGGTGTTGTGGAGACCAGCGAGGAGTGTGTTTGAGTCATCCAGGCTGGAGGTAACAAACGCATGCACGAGGGTTTCGGATGCATTTGAGGTAAGGTATGGTCAGAAGCGGGCAATGTGGTGGAATTCAGTCCTGGTCAGGGACCGGATGTGGGGGAGAAAGAACAGCTGGGGGTTGAACCGGACGCCGAGATTGCGTACTGGTTCATAAGTTTGAGGGAGAGCCCAGGAAGGTTGAGGAGTTTAGATCTGCAGGAGTGAAGACGTTGATGGGAGCCAAAGAGTATGGTTTCCATCATGTCTACATTCAGCTGCAGGAAGTTTGCACTCATCCAGGCCCTGATATCTGCCACACAAGCTGATAGATCATCAGAGGACCTGGAGTCAATGCTGGAGGAGGCAAAGTAGATTTGTGTGTCATCCGCGTATATGTGGAAGTTTACCCCGTTTCTGCGGATGACAACGCCAAGAGGGAGCATATGATGAGGAAAAGGGGGCCAAGGATGGAGCCATGGGGTACCCTGCAGGTGACCGGGCACGGGCGGGAAGAGAAACCATTTGCCGAGAACTTGCAGGAAGCAACACCAGCAGTAACTTGGAAGTGGAATTGTTACCTTTTACTTTTCGCAACCACAAACCCATTATAACATAGCATCTAAATTGTTTAGATCCAATTAGAAGCCGGTTTCTAATTCTTTTATCCTAAACACTGCGTCCTGTATGAGTAGTTTCTATTTATGTCTGAAGTTGTGAGACAGAACGAGCGAGACTGTGTGCTTGTTTATATTTTGCCAGTCACAGGAAGGTGACTCTCAAAGGATCTGGATCTAAACTGCAAAAATTAGAATATGTATGGTATTTTGATATGAATGAACAAAATAATGGTCAAATATACAATTTGATATTGGACAAGGTTTGAAATAAACTGATTAACTTACAACAAACTAGAATTTGATCAAATTTGGCATCAGTAGATGAACACTCCTAAAGTTTTAATACTTCTACCAAGTTACAAAGGACACTTGAAACATATCTGGATTTATAATGGTGGTTAGATTCTTCAATGGGGGGGGGGAATTAAAAACTAATTTAGCCAAAATTAAAATGGAAAGCACAATTTCAGCACATTTCCTACAATCACAAGTAATAATCCTTGCATTTGATATTGCGCTTTATCACGCGGTTGACAAGTGTCAAAATGCTTCACAGGATATACTGTGTAGTGGATTAACTGTATATTTTGTGGGCAAATGTAGTTTTCTGGCACTGTAAATTTGGATGGGAACACATTAGTTTACTAAAACATAATTCCGAAATTATCACTCATTTATCTAATCTTTCTATCCATTGCCTATACTGATGTATTTTATAAAACCTGAAGACGATAGTTAAAAACCGTAGCATTGGCAGAATTAAAAAATAAAAGTATATTTATTTGAAAATATGCTCCACAAATTATTTATTTCGGTCCTATCATAATTCTTGAAAATGTAATCTTCTGTGTCCAAAGTACAGCAGGCTTGTGATTGTCTTCTCAAGCCATTTCCTGCTGATGTAACAGGCTAGCATGATTGTTACTAGTGGATTTTTCCAGTTTTATTTTTCATTTTAAAAAAGAAGATATACGAAACACCTGTAAAAACAAAAGAAGAATAGTAGAAAGTAACCTAAAACTTAATGAATACAGTGCTTGTAAATGAATGGAACTTTGTTAGATTCTTAACCTCCTCTTTTGAAATGGAAGTCCAAATGAATCCTGAAACTTAAATCTGTCACTGTTGGGTCCTATAGAAATGTAATACTTTACATGTTACCAGTTGTCAGTGGGTGTTCTTGGGGTGGGGGGTGGGGAAGAAAGAGAAAGAGAGAAAGTGGGATCTCCTCGGAGTTGATTTGACTCCAAGCGGCATGCCTGGCAATACTGAAAGTTGAATAAAGTCAAGAGTCCTCCGCAGTTGTCTCGTATCTGGTTCCTGAGCCAGTCGGGTCCACAGTACTCTAGGGCACTACTGATGACAGACCAGCCAACCTGGCTCATTGGCAGGAATTCTTCCCACTCAGCTTCCATTAAGCCAAAGCCCCAACAGGTAAGGTGTTCTTAGCCCGACAAGCACAGGAAGCTTTCCAAACAATGCTTTCAATGACAAGTTATGCAGCTCTAGCTGGTTATACTATCAGCAATACTCCCAACACACACTGGGGTCCCCATGTCTTGGTGCCATCCAACCTACATCTGATATTCTCCAGAATTTTGTAAGCACGTTGCACCCCTCCAGGGAGAGAGTGCGTATTCCAGTCCAGGGATGGGAATTGCCATGTGTAGGTGGCAAGCATGGCACTATCACTCCAGTTTTTGCATGTGTAAGACAGACACCCAGCTAACTAAAAAAAAGTTAGGTGGTGTAAGGACAGTGCAAACCCCTATTGCTCTACTTAGGGTTTAAAAATGTATGTTTGAAGTGACATCCTGAACAACAGGATACAGATTACAAATCAGTATTCACTTCAATGACCAGAGCTCAAATCCAGCCCAGACCAGTGACATAATAATAAACCTTGCATTTGATATAGCGCTTTTTACGTCTTCTAGACGTCCCAAAGCGCTTCACAGAATATACTGTAAAGTGAATTGACTGTATATTTGTGGGCGAATGCGGCAGCCAATTGCGCACAGCAATGTCCCACAAACAGTCATGGATTGAAAATGACCAATTTATTATTGTTTTTTTTTGGAGGGATTATTATTAGGCTCTGTGTGGAGTAAGGAAACTTGCCCAAGGTTTCGCCCTGACCTGCCTGGAATTGAACCCAGGTCTCTCACTTGCAAAGCGAGTGCTCTAACCACTGAGCTACAGGACTTCACCTAGGACATGGCAAGTCTCTATTCTCTCCATCAGCTGCAGAGATCTGATGTGAATGCACTCTGGGCAGGCTGAATATAGTTCGTAATGGGCACAAGTCTGTAGAGCAAACATGAACCAGCAATCCCATGGTGAAAGAAGCTTGACTGATGTGCAAAATAAAACGTTAACGCTCATGCAAAAGGGGCTGCTCCTCTGAGGATAACAACAACAAAACGACATTTGTATCCTGCCTTTTACGTCGGGAGGACGTCCCAAGGTGCCGGACAGTCAGAGTTTCGGACCCGAGCTGGTCCAATAAGGATTAAAACGAAATCGCTGGTGCAGAGCCAAGGGAACTTTTGGACTACATCTGCTTTTGTTACGCTTGGGAGAAAGTATCTGCTGTTGACAAAAAAAGCACATTTTTTTTTACAGCTTTTTTTTAAAAAAATGAACGTTAAATACACAGCTTAATCGTGTCCTAAAGTGCTTCATTATACGTTAATTTATTGGACCGTTGGGGTTTGGGTCTTGATCTGGTGTGCAATGGGTCTAAAATGTCCAACTTCCAGGTCATCACAATGCCATTTTCTGTGTGCCGTGCATGAGTAGTGCACAAGAGATGATGGTCATGCACAGGATGTGATTGTTGGCAGTGACCCGATGCTCCAGAAGTCAACCATTTTGGCATCCCTGCACCAGCTGGCATTTCATTTCTCTGTGCACACACACAGTGAACACGCAGAAACTGATTAATGATCACGCAGCACTATAGTGCGAATTTGGATTTTTTGGACCAGTGTTATAATGGAACCCCACTTTACATGCATAATATATTGCTCTCCACTGTTTGGAGTTTTTCCAACAAAGGCTTATCAGAGATCAATTTCATTCTTGCCATAGATTGTATTTACACATTGTTTCACATTACAGGATAATGTGAAACAATGGGTAAAGGCATTGAACAACAATCTAGGACACTAATGGTGTCGCAAGAGGAGTACAATGAGAAACAATCTGTAAAACAATGTACATCTCATGTATTTAATGCAATTTACTTGATAACAAATACATTTACAATTTACTTTATTAGTTGATATGAAAATAATTAAATTAAGCAGTGCTGAAATGTGGGCCATGGCACCACTCTGACTGTATCTATTAAAGTGAGCATCTAAAACTGAAGAGATAGTTGAAATAACTGCAGGAGTTTCACAGTATTTTAACCAGATGAACAGCTCTACATCTTCACCCAACATTCCCTCTTACCTGTGAAATTGGATGGTGTCTTTCCACACAAACTGAAGTCATTGGTGGTGCAACTCCCTGATTTCCACATTTAACTCCTTTCAATGCCAGGTCCGATCGCCCAGTGATGCGTGCCATTATAGTTTTCCCTGCCTTTTGTTGTGCTGAACTCAGAACCTTACCGGGAGGCTAAAAATAATGAAGAGAAATAAAGTAAACTTGCTCATCAAATCTATTCAGAATACAAACATGCAAGTAGAAGACAAAATTAATTTGGGTTATAATAAAGTTATAGCTTTGCTTTCCTGAGAATACCACCACACTATTTGACACCGTTTATATAAGGGTTGTGAACCGGAGATACTTACAAAATGCACGTCCACAAAGATAGAAAGTTCCCTGTATGCTCCTGTGGGTATTGTGCCCACTACAGAAGATGGGTATTGTAGCTGCTGCAGTTACACTACAGCTTATTCAAAGAACCAACTCAAGTCCACTTCTCGTCTAGTCAGGTCAAATGGGCAATGAGTCTATTGTATCAGATTGGCGTAGCTGCAAGGTAGAACTCCCTCAGTTCTGTTCGAAATGATGTTATTAAAAAATAAACCCTAATGCACCAATGTGAGATTTCTTTTCTCCCCTGCACTATTTAATTCTCGTGTTCTCCACCTCTCCAGCTGTTTTTGTGGTGTATCCAAGCAAGGCTGCTAACACAATATGGATAGGTTTCTGCTGTGGAAACAGAATTTAGATTATCCAAAACCACTTACAGCCAAAAAGGGAGAAGAGACTTGCATCTCATCTGAGATTTAAAGCAATGTCTTCCAGAGATAAAAAAAACATTCAAAACTATAGCAACTCCTCTGCCCAGCTACCAAAAGCTACCACTTTGAATAGGGTTTTACTTTATTAGTTTGCCCTTTGACAGAATCTTCATCCTTTTTTAAAAAAACTACACATCACTCTCAACTACATGCCAGTGGGAGTTACGTGTAGTTTGTTTAAAAAAAAGGTTTTCACACTCGTTTGCAGGATACGTTCAACTAGAATGACACAATTGGCTCAATTAGCAATCCCCCGAAAACATTCCCTTCATTTTGAAAAATAAAATTATAAAAAAAAGTGGAAGAGATGGAGAAGGAGTACGCACTTTTGTGAGTTTTTTTTCAATTTAATTATCTGCTTTGGTGTGGAGAGCCTTTGTTGGGGGGAAATAAAATACTTCAATGATCACTTACAGCCTGTTAGCACCTGATCCAAGTGGCCTATATTCAACAATAACAACAACAAAATTATATTTGTATAGCGCTTTTCACATCGGGAAGACGTCCTAAGGCACTGGACAGACAGGGTTTCGGACCCGAGCTGGGGTCGGGGAGAGTGCAGGGCGGGGGTGGGAGGGGAAGCATGGAGATCGAAAGCATGGTCGAAGAGGAGGGTCTTGAGATGGGTCTTGAAGGAGGCAAGAGGGGGCGAGGTAGAGGGACTGCGGGATCGAGTTCTATAGGGTGGGGGCAGAATGGCAGAAGGCCTGCCCAGCAATAATAATAATAATCCTTGCATTTGATATAGCGCTTTTCACGTCGGGAGGACGTCCCAAAGCGCTTCACAGAACACACTGTAAAGTGAATTGACTATATATTTGTGGGCGAACACGGCAGCCAATTGCGCACAGCAATGTCCCACAGACAGCCGTAGATTGAAAAAGACCAATTTTTATTATTGTTTTTGGTTTGGGAGGGATTATTATTAGGCGTGTGGAGTAAGGAAACTTGCCCAAGGTTTCGCCCTGACCTGCCTGGAATTGAACTCAGGTTTCTTGCTTGCAAAGCGAGTGCTCTAACCACTGAGCTACAGGACTCCACAATAGTGGGGCAAGTGAGGCGGGGGACATTAAGCAGGCCGGAACCCGCTGAGTGGAGGGAGTGAGCAGGATGGTAGGGGGTTAGGAGGTCGCAGGGGTAGTGGGGAACAAGACCATGGAGGATCAGGATCTTGAACTGCATCCTCTATGTGATGGGAAACCAGTGGAGTCGGGCGAAGGTGGGGTGATAGGGTCATGGAGCCTGGTGCGGGAGAGGACATGGGCTGCAGAATTCTGGATGATTTGCAGCCTGTGGAGGGAGGAGTTGGGGAGGCCGACAAGCAATGAGTTTGCATAATCATTCGATGTAATGAAAGCATGTATGAGGGTTTCGGTGGCCTGCGGTATGAGACAGTAGCGGAGTCGGGCGATGTTGTGGAGGTGGGGAAGGCCGAACGGGTCATGGTGCAGATGTGGGGTAGAAAGGTTAGTTGAGGGTCAAACAAAATGCCAAGGTTTCGGACTGGCTTAGCAAGGTGGCGTGTGCATCCATGGATGGTGATGCTATCAGTGCCTGAAGTGAGGAGGCGCTGACGAGAGCCAATCAGTAGAGCCTTGGTTTTGTTAATGTTCAACTGAAAAAAATTAGCTCTCATCCAGGATCTTGGAGAGGAAAGGGAGGTTGGAGATGGTGCAGTAGTTTTGGAGTAGAGATGGGTCCAGCGAGGTTTTTTTTTAAAGGATAGGAGTAATGATGGCAGTTTTTAATGGTGTAGTAACAGTACCAGTGGACAGGGAGACTTTTATGATGTCTGTGGGTAGAGGGGCAAGGAGGTGGAGCTGGGAGGCAAGGAGAGGGGTAGGGATGGGGTCGAGGGAACAGGCAGTGGGTTTCATGTGGGTTATGGTGGTGATGAGCAAGAAGAGGGAGACAGGTTTGGTGTGGAATTCACATTTAAACATAGGGAACCACATAAGAGATATGTAGAATTTGACCTTACTCTTCCCCACCATCCAACCTAACTTGTTTCTCAAGATCAAACTGCTTCTTAATTTGAGTGTCAAATGTTTCAAATACCAAATAGGGTACTAAAATACTGAACCAATTTAAAGACATATGGTAACAGATTATAATTTTTCAGAAAATGTATCATCATTTAGAAAATGTAACATTCAAAAGTACACATAGATGGTTTTGAATTACCAATTTCTGGGTGGGACAAAAACCCATTGCTGGAGATGGAGATGTCACTGTAATGGTGGTCAATGGTGTACCTGCTGCTGTTGCCCTGGATGGGGGAGCATTTGCACCACCAAAATGCAAAGTAACCTGGAAATTAATGCAAGACATGTGAACTTGACAAAACTTGTTTCAGAAGCAAATGCAAGTAGCACTTTCATTTTAAAAGCACCGACATTGGTGAATGCAATTTAGCGTTCAGCTACTAGAATAACCTCACAAACTTTACAACATAAATGTAATTTCTGTATATTATCAATGTAGGCACTGAGAACAAAGATACCAATATTTTGCTGCTTTGTCATAATATATTGTTCAACACTTGACTTTGTGTGAAGGGAAATAAGTATAAGCACTTTACTGAGACTGAACTCAATTTTATATATAAAACAGTTACAGCCTGAGGTTGATGTTAGGATTTACCATACAATGATTATTGTTAGAAGTAAGTATTAGTTACATATAGCTTATTCTGCACTACTGTTAAGAAGGTTCCAAAGGTCAAGATGCTCATTAAATAGTTATCCTTTAATGTTTAAAAGATAAGATTAAATAAATCGCTTGAAAACCCTATTCAATGCAGTAAAACCTCAATTTAATGTATAACAATTTATCAGCAGTGGGACCTACAGTTTTTATCAGTGTGATGTCAAACAGCAATAACAATGGAATTATTTGACATCAATAGGCCGTCACAAGACGATCCTATTGATTACAGTACTTTGTGAAGGAAACCTGGGCATACACCTTCATTTCAAGGATCCTTAAGTCAATTTTTTTCTACCTGAATGTAAATACGACTGCTGTGTACTAAGTAGTTTGAAAATTCCTAGGAATTTTTATTTAAAAAAATCACAATCTGGAAAAATATCAGTAATTTTCAGATCGTGTTTTACTTTCAATGGAAAATTGGATGTAGGGGTCAGGAAGAGATCATTTTCCAGAAGAAAATCAGTGAGGTGAAGATTTACAAGTTGGGAATTCCAGCCCTTTCAACAGGTCTTCAAAGCACTTCATTGAAAAAAANTGTTGCAAGTGCGACCTTTGGTGGCAGAATGATGCAACTACACATTGAATATGAGGCAGTATATTTCAAAGTGCAGATTTAAACGTGAATACATAATTAACATTTTTCAACGTGAAGTTGAAAGTAACAAGTTAAAAGTTGAAGTTGAAAGTACTGGAAGTAACAAGAATCAATATGACGTCATTGCTGCCAACAATTAAATTATTCAACATCAGTCACAGTAAGTTATCAGTTTTATTATATTTGGGGAACAAGCTAGAGTACCATGTCAATAAAACAACTGTATGGTTTACTAGTTTCATAAGACATTATGATCATCCATTCCAGTCAACCTTTCCTTTTCCCTGGAAATTTGCTCATGTACCCATGTAACATGAAATTACCCCATTTTCCCTTACAATTTACCTTATAAATGGATGGAATAACATTTTTTTTTAGAATGAATTCTTGAAAAAAGGTTTTCAAACAACCTAACAAATCATTATCTCCTCTCGTTTTTTACTGCTTCATTAATTTTTCTTCAGCTATTGACATTTTTGGCTTCACCATAGGATCTGATATTGCAATTTGGTGGTCCAATGATTTGCACCATTATTGTGCTCAATAATGTAACTGAAGGTTTTCAGCTATTCCGCCCTTGCTTTCTGGAATTCCTGAATCCGTCTGTCTGGCCCCCCCCACTTTTAAAGTCCACCTCTTTAACCACACCCTCATCTTTCCCCATTTCACCCCTCCGCTTAGTTGCAGCCTTTTGAAATGCCCCCAAATGCGAATGACAATATATATAAAAATAAACTGTAATGGATTATGAAGTTAAACGTGGCACATACCATTTGGTCACATGCATCTACATTTCCAGGAACAGGATAAACTGAAGTTGCAGGTTGCTTGGATGCTAAAAAGGCAGTCAAAGCACTGGGGTCTAGATCATCTTTTCGAGTTACAGGCTGTGTTCTGTTTTCTGCATTTTAATAAAAACATATTAGATACGCATGGGTGAAACCTTTGTTCAACTTTATTTTTCCAAAATGTGTAGGATTTATATAAGAGGCTTGTTTTAAAACTCACTCTCAATGAAAATCTTGTATAATGCTGGGAAGTCATTTATTGGGAGTTTTGTTTATGAATTGTACACTATTGCCTTCGTTTAAGCACTTAGGAAGCATTTTAAAGAAAACAAATCACGAAAAATTTAAATCCTAACAATTCAAGCAATGAATGAATTCAAGCAATAAAGTTTGTCCCTTTAATCCATAGAATACACCACCTCAACATTTGAATCTCAAAACAGATGAGAACAAGCCAGATGCAGCCTGAAATGAAGTCAGTTCACATATCTGAAAGGCACTGGATGTAGCTTGGTCTGTAACGAGTACTTTGCAAAGTGTATAATTACGATGACTGGTTAAAATGACGCTCCTTGCATGATATGACCTCTGGAGGAGGTTTCAAAACATGTCACGGGATATAGTAAAAGTGTAGCGACAAATACACTAGTAATTTGTAGACAAACTAGATATTTATTGCACGAATCATTACCAAGGTGCTCACAAAAATTACAGTACACTTGGCAAAGCCCACAAAGTAAAATGCAATTTCAAATGGAACCACATTTTAACAAGTTTATTCATAAGGACATTACAGTTGATATCTTCAGATTACATTTTTAGTGAATATTCTTCGAAATATTATTATATCAGAAATTGAAATAAAACCATCTTCTCAAGCATGACAAAATGGTGCAACAAGATTTCTGGGCACAACTGGAATTTTTTACGATGAATATTTCTTCATTTTATGGGAAAGTATGTAGGCACTACCCCATCCCTTTAAATACACATTTTATATCTGGTGATCTTTCGCAGCAGTTTATAACTTATTGTGATGTAAAGCCTCAGGTTTTTCTCCTCTGGTTCTATCTGAAATTATATTTACCTTATGGACTTTGAATATTACTGTAATTGTTATGAGCACTTTGACAAACTGTGCAGAGGTACAGCTCTTGGGTCATTAAACACGAGTGTAACACTAGAACACAATTTCTGAAAAGTGGCCTTAAGATCCAAGATCTGAATTTCCCTACATGTGGAATATAAACTAGAAAACTTTTGAAATGTCCACATTGAAAGTTTGTCCCTTTAATCCATATCTAGAATACACCACCTCAGCATTTGAATCTCAAAACAGATGAGAACTAGCCAGATGCAGCCTGAAATGAAGTCAGTTCACATATCTGAAAGGCACTGGATGTAGCTTGGTCTGTAACGAGTACTTTGCAAAGTGTATAATTACAATGACTGCCATCATCCCTATTATCTGTAGATTCTACTGTATCACTTTCAGCGCTGGTAAATGGGACAAACTGCAACATCGACTAATCAGGTGGAGAAAACCAAAGAAGCAGGAACAGCATACTCTTTTGTTCCAGAGATGTTTAGTTGACTAGATATCCTTTGAAAATGGGGAGGAAAAACTTGGTTGTTCTGCTGCGAGTGTTTGGAAATTTACTGATGCCTAAAACAGCACAGTCCCCCACATACGTATCTTTGTCTGTCAACCGTGGTTCATGCAAAAAGTGCTGGTGGCTGAGTGTACTAGGTCCAGTGCCCTTGAGTTATGAGCAGAAAATGGAATATTACACTGCTCTGGGCCAGTTGATTCTCAACACTTTTTAAAAGAGCAAATCTTCCTCTGCTTAGTATTTGGAGAAGGAAAAATCTGTGGAGCCCTGAGGGCACCAGTCATAGCACCAAGTGCCTTAAGTGATGTCAGTCTCCTATCCCACTCAATGCATTCATCTGCCTGGAATAACACTGCAACTTATTCTGGGAGACTCTTCTATGCTCTCAAAAGTAGACTGCTAATGTTGGTTCCTAATGGGAGGCTCCATAAGAGCTCGGGAAGAATGAAGTTCAACTCCTGCACCTACCTATTCAGTGGGGTGAGGGGAGAAAGAAGAAAAAATGCTACTTTTTAATGTTCAAAACAATTAAAAACAACTAGTTGTTCTCTCTCGGAACTGGAGCACAAGCAAGTCTTAAACTGATTGCCAAGGTCTGCTATTAAGCTAACAAGAATTTAGATAATCTTGAAGCCAGGATTTTTTTTCAATGCTTAGGTAGATTTTGCAAGCCCTAGAGCAGTTTTGAACAAACCTGGCACATAAACTTGACTGGAAATCATAAATGGTACTGAGGAGCAACATAATGTCTTCAGGCACCAGAAAGCTTTGGTATATTCTGAGCAAAAGTTTCATATGTTGAAATAATGCACATATCAGGAGTCTTAAGTCTAAAAGATTAAAACAGTCAAAGACGTTTTTGGTTTCTTTTTTTGAAATCTGGAATCGGGATGAAACGGTGCTGGACCGGAAGTCCAACCTGAAGGTTAAAATCATCTGTGAATTGTGCTGAAGGCCAACTTTAGTTCTCTTTGCAGCTTGAGGAATTGAGTTATGAAATCTCAGCAGCAAACACACTCCAGAAAAAGCTTCTATCTTGACAACAGATCGGGGGACAGTCTCCAGCTAACTTTCCTGTACAGATTTTTTTATTTTTTCCATTTCGTCCATAAAATATATAGTCAATTCACTTTACTGTAAATTCTGTGAAGAACTTTGTGACCTCTCAACAACATGATAAATGCAAGGATTATTATTATACAAAAGACAAATGCTTTCATATCCCTGATCTATTTCCACTCTCCCAATTTGTTCTAATGTCTCAATTATTTTAGGGATAAAGTTCTATAGACCACTTCTCCAATACTATATTATCATAGTTACAAATCATTCATTTACTTTTTCCATTTAAGGTTTCTAAGATTGGTATTGGTTGTTTATTTTGTATTAGACATATGTAACAGAGTTTCTTTAGAAACTACAGTTAATTATAGAGCCTCTGATCCTTCTAGATACAATTACCATTTGCTATGAGAACTATACAAATGGTAAATAGCAAAAAAAAGGAACCACGAATATCTTGATATTTTAGGATAAAATGATTATATAAAAATGGCGTAAGCAGGTTTCGGTTTATTTGAAATCCAAAATACCAATATTTTGGTTCATCAGATGTCAGGTTAGTCTCGTTGCAAAGAATATTTTCTGCAATTTTCATCAACACGTTTTCCTACGAGTACTGACCGTTCTCCACTCTTCGGTCTCCATTCTGAAACATATTCATCGCCTCCAGGTTCAGAGCGCATACACCTCGCATGAACGCTTTTTTCATAGAATCAGCATACTTATCCTTGTCACCCAACAGACGGTCTATCTCTGCTTTTGATTTTTCCAGCTCCTCATTCAACTGAAATGATATAATAAAACGAATAGAGAACAAAATAGCAGGATTATGATTTTCAACTGCAGAATGACTGTATTCACATTGTATAAGTATATTTGTGGTGCAATTGAAGGTGTAACTGAATGTCAATTACATTTTATTATGCTAATTCTTAATTCTAGTTTTTCAGTAAATTTCTACTCTTTAATTAGATTTAGATTTTCTGAAACATTTAACATACAAAATGATTGTGTGGTGCACTTGCAGTTTATATATATTTTATAGATTCACTTGTATTTTATGTTTGTATACATTATGAATAGTATAAATTCAAGATAAAATTATCGCTCACTGGTTTTATGTCATTTTCCGTGCCAGCTCTGTATTTCCTACACGTTCGTTATATTATATCCAGTGAAATATGCTTTGGGAATCCCCAAATGCAAGGATTACTATTATTACAGCTACATCCCTTTAATTTATGTGTCAGATAAACCTAAATTAAAATCCATATATTTTCTTGGAGAATCTTGGCTGCTAGGGATATCAGACAGCTTCTAAAATCTGCCATGAGTAGTTTCCCTTCTTCCAGCCATTTGACATGGAGCCATATAGCCATGGGAAGGATACAAATATCAACATTAGTATTATAGCATGAGAATACAACTGCAGATTGGTAAATTAAATTTAATATGTTCACTTACAATATTCCAGGATCTTGCACTTTAAGTTAAGGAGCATAGTAGAACATACAAGTCAAATAATGTTTAAGACATGGGGAATAACTCACACAGTTGAAATGCAATAAATTAGTGACCCATTACTCTTTTAAAGAGTATGGCAGATTTCCCTTTAGCAGATTAAGAGTTGACTATCTAGATTGTGTGCACCAGCTCCAAGATCATTGTAAAAATTAATAAGGGAAGTATGATTATTCACTGTCACCTATTTGGTTTGATTTCTTTATTTAAAAAATGGCACTATTCATATGAAGGGAATATCTCCCAGTGACCTAACCAACAATCTTCCAGATACAATTGGTCATTCGTTTCATGGCTTGTGGGGACATTGCTGTGTGAAAATGGACTGATGCATTTGCCTACAAATACAGTTACTATACTTTACAGTAAATCTGGTGAAGTGCTTTGAGATGGCTTAACCATGTGATGAGACATTATATAAAGTGCAAAGATTATTAAAACAATAATAAGTGTTTGATAACATTGAGTCACAGAATGTGTTCCAGCCATTTCTGATGCTTGAAATTGCTGATGGGTTAATGTGTTGAACGTTGGTTCCACTGGCTGGAACATTGGCTCAAGGTGGGCTTTTGTTTCACCCACAAAATGTAGTCAGTTCACTTTACAGTATATGCTGTGAAGCGCTTTGAGACATCTCAAAGACGTGATAAGGTGTTATATCAAATGCAAGGATTATTATTATTATTATAATAAGAGAGAATGTTGAAAGCATTGAATAGAAGATACCAATTTAAAAAAAACTTTGCATGTCTATTTGCTTATTTTTCCAGAAGTTTATGTTTAGTTGTTTCTACAGAAGCAGTTTTACTTGAACCCACCTTTTTAAATTTTGCTTCATAGTCTGTTGACAGTTGGACGCAGACCTCCTCAGCCCTAGCCTGGCATGCCTTTTCTGCCCTCTCTTTCCATTGCGCGAGGGTTTCGAATTTCCAGGCTGTACACACTTTTCTCATCAGACACATTTTGTAGTGTTTGTCTGCCAATGCATTTCCATAACACTTGAAGGGAAAATGTGTTATTACTTATTAATGTACCAAGAATAGCAAGATTAAAAAGCATAGGTTAAATAAGACTAGACATCGAATCATCCAACTACTTCTCTTCGATTCTCTAAAATAAAATCATAATAATAGAACATATTTAATGTTCCTTTTGTCAAGCTTAATATACTTTTCTTCAGGTTAGTTGTGACAAGCAGGATATAAAAACACATTTGTGGTGTAAAATTACCTCTTCACAAATTTTATAGTGTTCTCGGAATACATTAGAATGCAAATTGTGCACTTTAGCTTTAACCTTTTGACTTCCCACCTTATGCAACATTTTTAAAATCTTCTTATACCATTTCCACTTTTAATTCCTTTGTTTCTCCTATTTTTTACTCTTTCCTCTAACTTGGTTAGAGCAGTTAATGTCACATAATTCAACATCAAATTGGGAGACCAAATGCAGATAATGCCATTCCTTTTACGTGCAGCATTTCGTCAGGCCCCAATTGATTTTCATTTCATTGCAGATAATCTGATTAATGGGATTAATTTCAAAACAGATTTCCTAATTAACTAGCTTCAACTGTATTAAAAATTAATAGTGGGAAAGTTATATCAGCCAGAAAGAATGACTTTCCAACATTGGTTTACTAGAAAAAGCTGCAAGTAATGCAAGAATTTTTCTTCTTCCATCCTTAAGCTTTCATTTTCTCTGCTGTAAAGACATCATCCGTGCGTGAGAATAGCTACTTACAAACACTGGCTGGCCAAACTAATGGGGGTCTGGCAAGCTGGAATTTCCAGCCGAGTGTAATTACAATGCCGGTACCAGCATTTACAGGCTTTTTTCAGTGCTGAAAAATGCTGGAACTGGCATTATAATTGTTTGAATAAGCTATCTTCTGTTAGTGGGATTCAAACTGAGTCAAAGTCAATATCACTGGCCACTAAAGGCTACATGCGCACTGTCCCATGGATTTGTTTAATTTTTCTATTTTGTTCCCTGTTCAGCTTGGTCTGAATTACCGCAGTCCATCCGGTGGGGGGATTTTACTGTATTTATAAATGCAAAGGTTATTTTAATAATAATTAGGATGAAAACTGCAACAGATTCTGAACACAAATTACAACCAATCCAAGACTTGACAAGCTGAACCTATGGATAGCATTTTAAAATAACAATTTAATAACTTGAAAAGGTGATGTCTAAAAATATGATTTGAAGTTGAATAAGGATAATGATTGCAATTATTTTTGTACTGAATTTTAGTTTTTTTTTACTGTGGCTTTATTGGTCTTACATAACAAACACTTTAATGTGGATGAAATTTGAGCGTTCAAGACATCAATGTCAAATTAATCAGCATTTCAGACAGAATGATTGGTAATTTCTAAAAAAAAGTGGAAATACATAGTATTTATTTGTGTTTAGTCTGTTTGAATTAAATAGGCACCTCTAGCAAAGAAGCACATCCCTGGCACTGCATTGGAGTGTCAGCCTAGACTACACAAGTTCTAAGTTCTCAGGGGCTTGAACCCTTAAGATCGGTTGAAGAGAAGCCTTGAAAATAAACAATAGCTAAAATCAGACCCAATTACTGTCACTAAACAGACATCAATAACATTGGTGGGCCAGAAGCTGATAGTATTTCCACATCTATTTTTATTGGTAAGCACAAAATCACACTTGTTACTATTTGCAGGCAATGCTAATTTAACGAGCTGATTAGTAGCAGCGATGAATATCAGTTGCTGATATTTTTCAAATCAAATAAATTAGCTGGGATTTTGTTTTACTGTTATGTACACCAAAGGAGACAGAATTTGTCAATAGACTACACAACAAGAAAGAATCAGCAACAAACAGTTCACCCGCAGTTATAATGAAGCCACATCAATTTCTCAATTCTTTCCCAACACATACTTCTACTTTTGTTTCTGAAAGCTGAAGTCTCCAATGTGTAAATCTACGCATCAATTCCATCTTTTCCTTCAAACTATTAATTCCTTGGATCAAGTTAGAGATCACCTGTGTGAACATATAAAGAATATACCAGTTTGTTAATTGACTCCACTTCTGCAGATTAACATATTTTCAGCTGGAATAACATTTTGCCTAGTTTACAATGATTTTTGTTTGCACGTTCATGTTCAAAGTGCATGTTCAACATGCAGGTGGGTTCTGAATATTGAATTATATGTTATAATTGTAATAATTTTATAGTGTTGGTATATTAAACAATGACTTATAGCAAGCATTAAAAAACTACCTTTAAAAGATTTTGTAAAGATAACCTTTGTAAAGATAACCTGATTGAAAAATTAGCCAATGCTGTAAACAAATCACCTCAATTCCTCTGCCTTACCCATTTTCCAATCACATCTAAAAATCATCCTCTTTCACCGTGTCTATGGTCACCTCCCCTTTCCCTGACTTGGCATCAAACGCACCAGTTAAGCACACCGAGATGCTACCGGTGTGGACAGAGCTATATAAATGCAAGTTTTTGTTATATCTATATAATCCTTCATGCAGGGCCGTGTTTTAAAACACTTCTCAGTGGTGAAGCTTGACGCCACGTCAGGTAGAGAGAGGAGGTGACAGCTGGCATAGTCAAAGAGAAGGTCTTCAGGTTTGATCTGATTATCCGGTATATTGATGAGAATTATCCAAACATCAATATACAAAAATGAATATTTGATATCAGCCTTTCATAACTACTTTCAATAATCATCTGAATAGCGCAATCATCTCAGTGACAAGCTTTTTGGTTAACTCTTGAAAGCAGATATACAGCACTATATTTCTATTGCTGAGATAGTTCTCCGATTATAAGAAAGGGTTTGCACAGGAACTATTTTATCATTTTCAACATCTTAATGTAGATACATCAGAGTCAGAGATACTCTTGTTCCTATATCAAAGCTCATACTTTGAAAAGGCCAAATCCATCCCATGTGAAATCATAATTTGGTCAATAGAATTCATATATTGGTTTTATACAAACCCCATATCCCCAATGTCTAGGAAAAGCCTTAAAAAAGTATGGGCTATGTTTGAAACAATGTTCTGAGGTGGGCTGATTAATACCTTAATCTATCCCTAATCTTGAGTATGGTTTCCTGGGAGATTTGGTCCATCCTGTGTACACAACTGCAAGGCGATCCCTGTGTGTTGTTAAAAATCTTTAAAAATTATACCAGATGCACAACTTTTTTTCATTGAAACAAAAAATAGTAGTGCTTTGATCAGCAATAGATTCACTACCTTAAAAATGTCCTTTCTATAGGAATTCCAGGATGCAAACAGTAATTGTTACCTTACTAATGCGATAACGTACTGCACCTAACATGCTCCATTGTCTCAATGTGATCTTTTTATTTCCCAAATAGCCACAAGTCCACACCGTTTTTAAATTTCCTCCCCATAGCAATTACTGTACCTCCTCCTTCCTTTCGACTGAAGTTTCGTTGGTACAAGCTAAGTCTTTCATACTCTTAAGCTGACTGTCCATTTGAGCAATCTGAACTTCATGTTTCTCCTTTTCGTCTTTTAATTCCTTTTCATGCCGCTCAATAATTGTGACTCTCCAGTTGTGTAGTTCAGTTAGAATATTACTCTTTAAAAAGAAAAATTGCATGAGCATTGACTTCAGTAATATAAGAAATTTGGTTAAGAGAATGTACAAAGCAAAAGTTTACTTCCTACAATTTCCAATATATTTTTCAAAAAAATAAGCATTACTTATACAAAATACATTTACATTGAGCCAAGTTGTTACAGCACTCAGCTTTTGAAGATGGGCAAGGAGATGTTCTGAAAATTAAAATGGTAAGTGCAACGTACATATCCAGCTAGCCCAGGTAAAGAAATTCCATCCGAGTCTAGATTTACTCTACCTACTCTGTTGCAATCCAGACCATCTAAAATGTGAAATGCTTAAGCACATTTTTTAAAACAATTTTTATTTTTTTTAAAGAAAACAAGCCTATGATCTAAAGAAAATGAAGCAAAAGTCACTCATACATCAGGAGATTTAATATGCTAGTAATGGTAAAGATTCCTCATTGCCTTATGGCAAAGCAAGGTTATATGTAAAAATGTCATTAAAAATCTGTCCAGTTTTTGATTATGTTCTAATTGGCCACAATGGTTCCTTTGACATTTAAAACCAACTATTGGTCCAGTAAAAACAGCAGTTCACAACTTTGCATCATCCTTTTCTCCCTCCCCATTTGTTGAGCATTTCAAAAAAAACTAAATGTTAGGTTTGCAGATTCTCAGAGTTCTTGGAGCCAACGATATGAAGAAATTACAATACAATTCATGCAGAAATAATGGGATTACTGAAGCACCTCAGTTTATTAAGAATAATATTATTGATAACAGTCATTTCCTACCGTCTGCACTTCTCCAGTCATTACCTGGGATGGAATTCACAATAGTGTATTGATAAGATACCCTCTTTAAGCAACTCCACTGACCTTGAGATTGACACTGAAGCGGTCGAGTACAGCTTCTACCCTGTTCATGTCATCTTCAGCAACGGGTAATCGATTAATTACAGTCTTTGACATTTCAAGTTTGTTGGGTATTGAACATGTGAAGGAACGCTTTGAGAAAGAACAGGAGATTCTACAGGTGACCCTGCTTCCAAAAAAGATGGAATGGGTGCCCTTTGGGGATGTTCCTCTCCTGCAAAGAGGATTAGCAGGTTGTTACTTGAAGATTAGATTTACCTACATCAAAATGCAATTTTTAAAAAAAAAAACCAACTTCAATGATAAACATGGGTAACATTCCTTATAACACAACATCTATTTTACTGGTCAATTAAAATTGAAGCTCGTAAATAATTTTAAAAGATTAATAACAAACACTTAATAGAATAAAAAATTCACTCCACTTCCACTGGGGTTGCACAAACCAAATTACACTTATAGAAGAAAATGACGCACACAGCTTGCTAAAAAAAAATTCATCTCAAGAGAATCCCACTAAATTCACTTATGCTTTATAAATACAATGACATCATAAATATCAAACGCTTCACAATAGGGGCCATATATGGCCTTAGTGACTAGTCACTTGAGCACATCACAATGTAATACCAATCATCATAAGCTAAGCAGCATATAAAACAATTCTGTTTCGCTTGGATCAACTTTGAACAGACAATCAGACTATCATAATTTACGTTCAAACAGCACTGCCATGTAATAGAAACATCTCAAAAGCATTTCACAAAATGAGATCAAGACTATTGTGGTGGCCACTAAAAGTTGAGAGCATGAGATGAGAGAACTAAGTCACGTAGCAGTTAATTGAAAACAACTTTCATTTTTAAAGACTATAGATTATAGAAGGGAGGGATACTACGGGAGGTATAGTTCTTCAATTCCAAGAAAGAATCAGCTAGAGCAGGAGCCAGGTCAATGAGTTCTCATTACAACACTAAGTTCATTGGAAAGGAGGAAAATGTACAGAAACAATCATCAATGGAGAAGACATGAAAAGGTTGCTCTTAAATCTGCCTGCGAATTCATGGGCACATTTGATTAATTTTGGTAAATTATACAGAGTAACCAAAACAATAAAAACACAATTTTCCCAGTGTTTTTTGAAGCATAAACTGACTCCCACTGCTCCTAACTGGAAATAAACTCAAGGAGAAGTTCAGTTTGTTACAGATAATTACACCAATATTGTACCTTCTAACAGATTTTCAGTTGCTTCTGAGTGAGGGCTTGCAGGAGCTTGTGTATTTGTGCATGGAGTCCTCAGCTGTCTTACAGTGCTTCCAAGTCTACACACATCATTCTGTGAAGATGAGCCTGTCCAGAGGTGAACAACTATTCTTTAGTTAATTTCTACCATTAATTAAACTTCACTTAATCCACACTCCAGCTTTCTCCATCTCATATAGCTACAGCAACATTTCATTTTCAGAAAAAAAGAGGCAATATGTTCTTTCCTGATTCTTGGCAATAAACTGCCTTCTACTTAACAGTTCTGCTTTCTTACTTAAGATGGGCAAACATGTCCTGTAAGTCAGGGTTGTCCAATAAGTTAGCCACTAGCCACATGACAAATTGGGAAGCCAGATGTAGCAAAATTGCATTTTTGATTAGTAAATAAAGGATGAGTAACAGATACTGTTATTAGGGATGTCATTTCAATTCTCACATTTGCATGGTGACTGCAGTGTGTACTTTCACCTTTTTGTATGTCTGTTGGTAAATTGGTAAGATGAAAAGCAGCAATGTGCAAGTATTTTTTGATTGTTGTATGTTCTTTTCTTTCTTGGTTAGTTGCTAAAATGGTGTGTAACACGGGTGGAAAGGTCAGATTTCAGCCCCATAGAAACAGCAGCAATATTGTATGGAGACGGTAAGTGTCAATTCGACCAATTGGAATAACCGCTCCAGGCCAGCGGAATAAAAAAAGGCCAGCCAATGACAAGAAGCTCCAACAGGGCATTTCATGGCAAAGGGCAAGCAGCATCCAACCATGTTCTGAATGGAAAGCAGAGTGAGTCTGGAGTGTTTCGGGAAAGAAGAGTAAAGAGAAGACTGCCAAGTTTTGCACTGAATGGTGGTAGATGTTGGTTAAGTAAATATACATGTGAATTACATTTACTTATATTGCGTGAGTGTATGTGAGGTGTTTTCTACTAAAATTAGTCCATGTGGCTACAATGGTGTCACAGTTGTGGCTAATCAGTGATTTCTATTGGACAACACTACTGGAAGTAAACTACTTTTTAAAAAAAAAGTCAGTTGGACAAAAAAAGTCTAACAAATGTAGAAACTCATCATCTTAAGAATATCCATATATATATATAATATATATATATGCTATTTACATAAAGAAATTTCCCCATCTGGAATGAAATGTGCACTCGCTCCCTGGAACTAAGGTTGGCAAGAGCCGAAGCTTGGTGACCCTCAGATGAAGTCTGATAACCTGAAACTGCAAAGCATGCCATTCTAGAGCAAGCTTTCTGCTGTTTGTCCAGTTAGGAATATGCAAGCTATCTGGTCAGCTTTCTGCTGCTTCTCCAGCTAGAGCCATTGTCATCCATTAAGGCTCTGGCTTGCAGGTTAGCAGGAGCTGAGTGGGAAGAATCCAGGATCCCAGTGACTGGTCTCCAATGAGCCAGGCTTGCTGGTCTCTCATCATCAATGCCCCAATTTATGCAGACGCACCTCGCTCAGGAACCAGATTACCCAGATTGTCACGAAAAGATTAATTTGATTTCAACATTTGGTTGTCAAGCACCTTGGACAATTTTGCCTTCCTTCCCCGCAAAAAAGAGAATAATTGTAAGTAAATTAAGCAAGCTTGCAATTGATATAGCACCTTATATCATCAAAAGCACTTCCCAAGATTTACTTTAGAGAATACTGAATGTGTATTTTGTAGGTGAATGCCACAGCCAATTTACACGCAGCAATGTCCCACAAACTGCGAGGAAGGAAATAACCAATTTCACCTGGGATATCATTGGCTGACATGCTGTCATTCTCTTTTTGAATAATTCCGTGGGATCTTTAACATCTACCTAAATAGGCTGTCCAGTCTTGGCTTAACACTTCATCCAAAGGACAGCCCTAAAATAATTCTTACTTTTGATATAGCACCTTTCATCTTGGGCGGACATTTCAAAGCACTTTGCAAAGAAATCTGTAATGTGCAATACTTATTTTGGCAGCCAATTTGCACAAATCAATGTTCTACAAACAGGCATGAAGTGAATGACCAAAACTTCTAACAATGTATTGCTCCCGCTGCACTGCCTCGAACAGACAATAAGTTGAAAGTTCTAATGCAAATTTTAAACCCAAATTTGCCTCCCAAAAATTGGCAATCGTGATTGTATGTACATGTGAACCTCTTTGTGTGAGGATTTCCAAAATCAGGCAGACGAGTTTCAAGATTCCAAAATTCTGATTTCCAACAAATTTACATGCGTGTGGTGGTTAAATATCGTTTCCCCCCCAACCCCCATTTCCTCTATATTTACAATTTCAAAACTTTATGTGTGAGTTTTGAAATTGTAAATATAGATTGTGAATAAAAAAAACACAAATTTAAAGGTTGGCATGGCTTAGTAATGTATCTTGGGGTACTGATAAAGTTCAACTAGCAGAAATGGACTAGCTTGCCATTGAGAGCATTGTCTGGCAAGCTTCTCATTGCTCATCTAGCTAGCACCACCCTACACGTTAGAGATTTGGGTTTAGCAGGAGCTCACAAGTTGAAAGGATCTCTTCCTCCAGTGACTGGACTGCCTCTCCAAATCCTACAGTGAGCCAGGCTGACTGGTCTGTTACAAGCAATTCCTTGGACTGCTGCAGAGGCAGTTGGTTTAGGAAGTGGACTACGAAAACAGTTCATATTCATCGATTCTGATATTCCATTGCCAAGCAAGTCAACTTGGAACCAGCTCAGTGCAAAGGAGACCCTGTTTTCCACTCTCTTCATTCCCCTCTCCCCACCAAGGTAGTTTTTTTTTGAAAAAAAGACATCGCTCAATGAGTTATTAGAATGTGGAGTTATTTAACACTGGCAGGCCATTTTGTCTTCATTTTACTTATTTCAGATTAATTAATGTAAATAGCTGGACCAATTTTTAGAAGGATGCATGTCTTCACCTGTAAAAAATGAGCAATGGACATCTTCCATTTCACCTGAATGCCTGCTATCTGTTGGAAATCCAGATACAACATGTGAATGTCTGAAGATATGTGAATCCCACTTTGGAGTTACAACTGCATAACGTAGAAGTTCTTCATATTCATCCTTATGGATAAGAAAATAAAGTTTTAAAAATCTCAAAAAAAATTTAAACTATTTTGCATTTCATTATTTCTAAATATGATGCATCAAGCTAACATTTCTAAATACAGCAAAACAATTCCAACTATAGTTGTACAATGCTCCAGAACACTGCAACCTTTGCTAAGATCATTTTTTAAGGCAATGTTTAAGGGAAACAAGGGAAATCTCTTGAAGGTTTGACACCAAAGCAATCTTTCCATAATAAACTGAAGATTATTTCAGGCAGCTCATTTTCTAGGACACAGACGCCCAACCTGAGGTATATTTCTCAGGAAATGTTAAATTAAGTTGCATGCTAAATGGATGATGGGAGTATAAAACTATGTGACCTGCAACTATGGGCTTGTAACAATTGCTCCTGAGATATTGAACTCTTAGAATTTTACCTAACATCTATCTACTGCACAAATTCAGTAAAGCCTGAGCAGGTCAATTACTAAAATAGCCTTTTTTGTAATGTTATGGATAAAATTGGAACTATAATATGAATAATCAATGCTGTCAAAAACAGACATGATGTTTATACAAATGTACATTATTTTTATTTATATAGGCATTCAAAACAAGTAATGATTGTTGCTGGTTTTACACTAAGTCGTTTCCTGCAGAATCTTCAATTGAAATTGAGTTAACAATGATACAATTGAGCTAGATAAGTAAAGCATCAGTTACTAGGCTTGGCTTGTGCATTTATCATAGTATTGTTGCTCTTGACTTCAAGGTAATGTTTCTATCTGAATGTTTCAGGAAGTCGCTACAAGCAATCAGACCATCGCTGAACCATGCCCAACAATGGGAATGTGTTTGACAAGTTTATAGCTTAGTAGAACTGAAGGGTTGAAGTTCAGAAAATTGGCAATGGGCTCTGTGTTCTGGCAGTCCCGCTATTTGAGTTCTGATTGCTTAGGAATTTACTAAGCGCTCTGAGATACTACCCTGCATGAAGAGCGCTATATAAGCGCAAGTTGTTGTTGTGTCTGAAGTCACATCTACTCTTATCTCCGATAGGAAATAAAGTTACACGTCTTGTAACAAGAGTACAGCAAGATTAGTTGGTAAGAGATTGTTTTCACAAGTATATATTAGCATTTTAGAATTAAACATTTATGTTTTGAGTTGAAGGGAAGTATTTAGAATCAGCATGAATGGTTTTGTTAGCAGTTAGCAGTATTTGAAAACTGGAAATACTGTACTGACAAACTGAGATCCACTGCTAAGCAAATAACAGAAACTATAAAAGATTGAATCCAATTGATTTTCAGGAAGATTGAACAGAAAACAAATCAAAGTCCTCTCTCTGTACTAGGTTGTAGCAAAGTTCATAAAATATGTGTAATGGTAATCCTAAATGGATGGCATTGGTTATGACCCAACTGTGCAGCGCCTTGGGACGTCCTCCTGACGTGAAAGGCGCTTTATAAATGGAATCTTGTTGTTGTTGTTGTTTTGTAAAGTTCATTGCACCAATAATCACAAATAAGGAGGATCAAAAGCTGTCTCCTAGAACAGTGATGGCAACTTGTGGCCCACGTGCCCAATGCAGGCCACATTAAGCATGCATAAAAGTCAATATAAGGACTTCTTCAATAACCAAAAAATATTTCATTAAGGAAGGAAATGAGCTACCAATGTATAAATGGAAAGGATCTTCAGGGAGCATTAACTGTATTAGCAGGTCAATTTCAGAACAGACTAAACTCCAATGCCTGATAAGTGCCTACACTTTGCAAATTATTTACTACAACTGGGTGAAGGAGTTTGGTTTACTCTAAGCGACCACACTGTTATAAATCACTTTCAAGTCTTGGACTTTTAGAGAAGCACAATTAAGGTTTCATGCCCAATTTTTCCATTGGCTGGCAATCTCAACAGGTTAAAGCTGAGAGCCAGAAAGATGTTTCCAGGATAAGAGATCTTTCCTGCTCGATAGGGGAAAGAAGACAAGTTGGCATTACCCCCAATTAAATAATTTGTGGAGTCCTGTAGCTCAGTGGTTAGAGCACTCGCTTTGCAAGCGAGAGACCTGAGTTCAATTCCAGGCAGGGCGAAACCTTGGGCAAGTTTCCTTACTCCACACGCCTAATAATAATCCCTCCAAAAAACAAAAACAATAATAAATTGGTCATTTTCAATCTACGACTGTTTGTGGGACATTGCTGTGCGCAGAACTTCATACACAACCCAACCTGAAGCTTGTAATTAGTCTTTAAAATATCACTAAATGTTCTGACTTAAGCATCACCTGGAAGAACAGAGAGGGAAAATAAGCTAAAATGTTCTACATGCAACCCACTCCTATCACAGGAAGTTGGGTATAGAGAGTAATGATGAGAAAGGGATCAGCACTTTCAAAAACAAGTGCTACCATAAAGGCACCATAGACAGTTCAAGACACATATAATTTTATTTTTGAACAGCTCAGCATGAAGCTGGAGGTGTTGAGAATAGTCAAGGTGACCAGATATTTTATGACTTAATCACCTGCTACCAATATTCAAACATCCTCATTCGTTAAAAAGAAAATTATTCTAGTACCCAAGTTTTGCCAGTGGGTGACACTGTTCAAAACAGTAAGATGTAGTATAGTGCCACCTAATGTCTAAAAAGAGGTCTATGTCAGAAGACTGACACACACTGAACTTCAAGACCAATACATCTGGTTCATAATTACCTCAAATGTTACTAGATGTTAACCCATTACAGATTAAGTTACTATGTACCATTGCCCACATCTTTGGTTGGAACGCTCTTCCCTCCCCACCGTAGATATCTTACAGAAAGCGTTTTAAAAAAAGTAAGATCACATTTTGCTCCAATTGCTCTAATTAGAAGGAAGCTTCATACAGGCAAGTTGGAGGTGAACTTTATTACTATTGCAGATAAGAAACAGGAGCATTTCAGCTACTAATGGAGTCCTAGATACTAGTGGAGTCCTGTAACTCAGTAGTTAGAGCGCTTGTCTTGCAAGCGAGAGACCTGTGTTTGATTCCAGCTGGGCAAAATCTTGGGCAAGTTTTCTTACTTCACACACCTGATAATAATCCCTCAAGAGAGAGAAAAAAAAATTGGTCACTTCAATCCACAACTGTTTGTGGGACACTGCTGTATTCAATTGGCTGCCGCGTTTCACCCACAAATATACAGTCAATTCACTTTACAGAATAGTCTGTGAAGCACGTTGAGACATCTAGAAGACATAAAAAGCGCTATATCAAATGCAAGGATAATTATTATTTTATATTATATAATGTTTGGAAAGGGCTTTTTAATATGGTTCTCCACTAGAAAAGCAACAGAAAATAAAAGCAACAACTATTCAATAGGAAAAAATCCTGATATTTTGATCTTTAAGGCTTCAGGCAAAAGGAATGACTACAATAAATAATAATCTTTGCATTTGATATGGAGTCTATAATGTTAAGAACATCTCAAAGCTCTTTCAAATTTTATTTAAGTATAGTCACCATTTAATCGAAGGCAAACAGCAGCCAATTTATGCATTTCATAGGCTCACAAACTGCTATGATGTAAATGACCAATTTTATTTGGAGGATGGTTAGCCAGGATACTCGACTTTTCAGAAGTTAGTTTGTGGCCAATAAACACCACTGCGAGGAAGAATATTTTTGTGGTCAGTTGAAAAAGAGAGAAATATTGGGTCTAGCTAATTTTAATGAGTTTTTTGTTAACAAGCAAGTAAAATCCTTAAATGTAATAATTTGCATTTATATAGTGCCACTCATATAGAACTTTTCAAAACACTTTAAGACAACGTGGGACACTGAACTGAAAACGAGCGACTTCTGATAATGACTGAGGGAGTCAGGTTTAAATGGGCTTTGAAAATGGAGAGGAAGGATGCAAGGTAAGGGACTTGGAGAAAAAGGTTCCTGACAACAACAACAATAAAATTACATTTGTATAGCGCCTTTAAAGTTGGGAGGATGTCCAAAAGCACTGGACGATCAGTGTTTCGGACCAGAACTGGGGGTCGGGATAGGGGAGGGTGGAGGGCGGGTGGGGAAGGAGGGTGACTGAAGGCACAGTCGAAGAGGATGGTCTTGAGACGGGTCTTGAAGCAGGCAAGGGAGGGGGCAAGGCAGAGGCAATGCGGGATGGAATTCCAGAGGGTGGGGCAGAGTGGCTGAAGGCTTGCCCGCCAATGGTGAGGCGGGCGACGTGAAGCAGGCTGGAGCCCACTGAGTGGAAGGAGCGGTTGGGTTGGTAGGTGGTTAGGAGGTCACAGACGTAGGGGGTAGCAAGGCCATGGAGGTCTTTGAAAGTGATGACCAGGATCTTGAATTGTATCCTCTGTGTGATGGGAATCCAGTAGAGTCGGGCGAGGACGGGGGTGGTAGGGTCACAGAGCCTGGTGTGGGAGAGGACATGGGCTGCAGAGTTCCGGATAATCTGCAACCTATGGTGGGAGGGGTTGGGGAGGCCGACAAGCAAGGAGTTCTACAGAAGAGTCTCTCCTTTCCCCAAAGGAGAGCAAACAGCTAACATTATTGCTTGGAAATGCTGAATAGAGTAATTTAATTTCTATGGATTTGGGCCTCTGACCCAATTTACTTTTTCCATACATTAAGAATCTAAGATTCTAGGGGACATGAATCTCTGATGAGTATCTTTATTTAACAATAAATAACTACATCTAAACAACAAAGCTCAAGTACCTACATTTGAAATCAAGCTTCATTATAAATATCTTCCTCCCTACCTGCAGATCAGAAGAAACTGAACTACCTCGATCTGAATCTTTAGGCAATATTGGGGTGCCCACCCCCTCTTCATCGGAGGACATCTGCACAGAAATAGGACAAAAATAAATCAATTGACTGAATTATTGACCTGGTACAGGAAAAAGAAATGTAATAGAATTATAATAACCTTTGCTCATTATTCTTGGAAGCTTTCCTTCATGCTAACCTCATTTTGACTTCCACTATAAGCCATTGATTTTACATGATTTTAAAATCCATGGTACACACATGCAAACAAAAGATTGCAAATCCGTTATTTTATGAAAGGATTCAAAATGAGCTTTTTAAGATGCTCTTTGCAATTTGGAATTTACAGACCACAATAATCAATAGCTTTTTTTGAAATTTTTTAAGAAAAACATCCCTTTTTAAAAAAACCTCCTTTTATTGTAAGAGAAACATCTTTTTACAAAGTGTTTCAATGGGATTATGGTCAGAACATAATTACTGAAATGTGCCGAGACCCTTATTCCACGCTATTTATCATGTCCAGGCTTGACTATGCTAACTCCCTGCTTGTCAGACTTCCCAACTCTTCCCTCCACAAGATGCAGATATTCAGAAATCTGCAACTCGAGTCCTTTCCCACATCAGACTCTGCAATGCTTCCATCCTCGCCCAGCTCCACTGGTCACTCATTCACCCAGATGTTAGAGATCAAGATCCTCATCCTCACTTTAAAGCCCTCCAAAGTCTTGCCCAATCCTACCTTTGTGACCTGCTAAAACCATAAAACCTGTCTTCTTCCTCCACTCAGCAGAGAATTGCTGTGCACAATTGGCTAGATATACAATTCAAAGATTAGTTTATTGTATCCTCCACCCCCACAACAATTTGCATTTATGCAGCATTCATAAAGTCCAGGCTTGACTATACAATCTCTCTGCTTGTCGGCCTCCCCGACTCCTCTCTCCATAGGCTGCAGATCATCCAGAACTCTGCGGGTCTTCTGCCACTCTACCCCCACCCTCTGGAACTCCATCCAGCAGTCCCTCCGCCTCGCCCCCTTCAAGATCCGTCTTAAGACCCACCCTTCGACCATGCCTTCGGTCACCCTGCTTCCCCCACTGCTCTCCAATCTTCCCGATCCCAACCCCCAGCTCAGGTCTGAAGCACTGATTGTCCACTGATTACATATACCAATGTATTTTTGTTGTTGTTGTACCCTTCATGTTCTCGGTCACTCTTCTCCACAGCTCCTTCTCCTCTACTCTTGATTCCCTCGCTCCCTTCTCTTCCCGAACCGTCTCCTACTCATGCACATCACCTTGGTACACCAGTCACCTCCACTCCCTTAAAGCTCAGGTGCGTTCCGCTGAGCACACCTGGCTTAAATCAAACCTTACTGTCAATCGGCAGATTTGGCTGGGCCATGTCAAATTCTACTGCTCTGTCCACGCCTCCACTAAATCTTCATTCTACTCCAAGACAATCTTGGAGGCCAAGGACAACCCCGGGCTCCTCTTCTCCATCACGAACTGACGCCTCCGCCCACCCGCTCACTCTTCACCCATCCTCACCTCAAATGCCAAATGCGAGGCTATGCTGGAATTCCTCGAATCTAAAGTCGAGGGAATCCACTCAGCTGCCTCTGTCACTACATCTGCTAAACCCCTCCCCATCTCCTCCTCCCACCCCGGCCCCTACCCATCCCTCCCTCCACACCGTTGAAACTGTCTCCCACTCCTCTCTCATCATCACCATAACCCGTACGAAACCCACCATCTGCTCCCTTGACCCCATCCCTACCCCTCTCCTTAACCTCCCAGCTCCACCTCCTTGCCCCTCTACTCACTGACATTGTAAACCTCTCCCTGTCCTCTGGTACTGTTCCCACCCCTCCTTTAACTTGACTTTATGGATAATGATGCCTTAAGAGGAAGGAGCTTACAACTACAATGTAATTCTTTAAGCATTTTAAAACTTTGAAGTCAATTACTAGATTTTTTTTTAAATTCACAGGATATACTGTAAAAACTAGTGGGTATTTTGCTAGTTGGCCTTTAAGGTTCATAGAAGACATCGAAACTGATGGATTGAAAATTATAATCCAATTACTATTAGTTTATTGTATGATAATCTAGTTGATTATAGCTAAACATAATATATAGTATACATAATGCTAAAACCTTCTTCTCCTCTATTGAAATCCTAGTGGGAAAAACTATATCAATATTGATCCACATAGCCCAAGTTAATCTCAGAATCAATTCCTGGTTATTATGCCGTCATTTTATTCCAACTCAGGCAGCCTAAGGATCTAGCGAATAACTAATATCATTGGTAATAATGTTAGCTATTTTTGTAGCCTGATAAGTCCTTTTAAGTTTGTATTTATCCTATGAATGATGAACTTATGAGGCAGCTCAAATCACAGTATACCTAAACAACCATTTGCATGCAGGATAGCATTTGAACCCTTCACAAACATCAGTTGGACACCCAGAAAAGACCATAAGAACAGTCCAAGAGATAGTGTTTGGGTGGGATTTTAAGGCAGACACGAGAAGAGGCAAGATGGAAGAATAGAGGGAGTTTGAGAGGTTTAGGGGATAGTTGCTGAAGACCTGGGTCACTCTGGTCATCCGAGATTAACAACAGCAACAAGATTACATATGTATAGCGCCTTTCACGTTGGGAGGACGTCCTAAGGCGCTGGACAAAGTCAGCATTTTAGACCCGAGCTGGGGTTGGGAGGGAGGGGAGGGGAAGCGGGGTGGCAGATGGCATGGTCGAAGAGGAGTGTCTTGAGGCTTTGATAACCGATAATTGAGTTGATAACCAACCTCATTTGAACAAATAAACACCTGACGCAGTCACTTCATGATAACTGGGAAAGTATATTGATACAGCAGCAACCAGACTGAGGAGATGACACAAACTACGAGTAAACACAAAGTAGCCCACGAGATGACATCTGACACCAGAGAGGAGATAACAGCCAGGAAACCACTCTGGCTGAGTAACACTATGTGGCAATAACAATAATAATCCTTGCATTTGATGTACCACCTTTGCATGTCATTGAGGCGTCTCAAAGCGCTTCATGAAATAATAATAATAATCCTTGCATTTGATACAGCACCTTATTACGACTTCACGACGTCTCAAAGCGCTTCACAGAATATACTGTAAAGTGAATTGATTGTATATTTTGTGGGCACAACAAAAATACTGTATTTTCTATTATATGTTGAAAAAACAGCTTCACGGGACGATTGGCAACATGACTAAGCGGGTTTGCTCCTGAATTACACACAGATGGCAGTTACTGGGCAGGTCACACAGTCTCCCCCTCAGCCCCATGGTGCAGACTTGCGTTTTTTTAAAAAAAGTGATAGTAAGAAAGACTCTGGGAGCAGCAGAGCTCACCGGCATGTGCTCGACGCACCAAGCTTCCGCCATCCCCAGGTCCTCACTGCTTTATCACCTCAAACGCCAGCGGCCCTTCCCTCACCGTCTTCAAACACGGACTGAGCCGTGTAACCGCCGTTTCCTCCCGGTCTCCAGCCACCAACCGACTGACAGTTTCAAACGGGTCACTTCCCAAAAACGGCCGCTCCTATTGGAGGGACGTGGCTCGATGGCTGCCGCCGATTGGACCGTTTGGTGTTCACGGCGTTGCTGAATTCTGCACTTCTATTGGTTGCTCCGCTCACTCTCCCCACCCCCCCAACCACCTGCGGTTACCATGGTGGGGGGAGACGCGGGAACGCCGCGTCTGATTGGCTTTCATGCTGGTGCCATGTGCGAGTGAAAGCTCGTCTGATTGGCCAGTAGCAAAGCAGTGACTGCAGTGGTCGAGGTGGTGGAGCACGTGGTGTGGTACCTGGCTGGTGACGTCACCCAGTGAGGCTCTGACAGCAGCTGATCATCAGGAGTTGGTGAGAAGGACTGTACCCCCAGTCTCCTCTCTGGCCAACAATCCTGCAAATAAATGTAGTCAATCGCGCCCTGACTGCTTGTGGGACGTTTCTGGGTGCAGTTGGACTGCCACATTCATGCACAAAATAAGACTAATCCTTACATTCGATCTTCGAGATATCTCAAAGCGTGCGGAGTCCTGTAGCTCAGCGGTTAGAGCACTCGCCTTGCAAGCGAGACACCTGGGCTCAATTCCAGGTCAGGGCCAAACCTTGGGCAAGTTTCCTTACTCCACACACCTAATAATAATCCCTCCAAAAACAAACAATAATACGTTGGTCGTCTTCAATCCTCGACTGTTTGTGGGACACTGCTGTGCGCAATTGGCGTTTCGCCCACAAACATACAGTCAATTCACTTTACAGTCTATTCTGTGAATTGCTTTGAGACGTCGAGAAGATGTGAAAAGCGCTATATCAAATGCAAGGATTGTTATTATTAAAGTGCTTCACAGAATATACTGTAAAGTGAATTGACTGTATATTTTGTGGGTGAAACGTGGCAGCCAATTTGGCACAGCAGCGGCCCACAAACAGTCCTGTTTTGAGTGACCAAATTCTTATTTTTTTTCAAGGGATTATTACCCCCGGAGAAGCGAAGTAGTAATAATCTTGCCCTTGCCTGGTCGATTCAACAACAACAATAACATTACATTTATAGAGCGCCTTTCAGGTCGGGAGTACGTCCCAAAGTCCTGAAGATTCCTATCTCTCTCACTGTCTCCACTTTGTTGCCTCTAACGGTTTCTCCTCCAGCCCCCACACTGCCACGTCTAGTGTCCCCCAGGGCTCTGTCCTTGGCCCTCTCCTCTTTAATATCTACATGCTCCCCCTTTGGACATCATCCGCAGACATGGGGTCAACTTCCACATGTATGCGGATGACACCCAACTCTATCTTTCTGCCTCCACTCTCAACTCCAGGACCACTGCTGTCCTGACAGACTGCCTGTCGGACACCAAGTCCTGGATGAGGATAAATTTCCTACAGTTGAATGTGAACAAGACTGAGGACCTCCTGATTGGCTCGCGACAGCGCCTCTGCACCTCAGGCTCTGTTAGCATCAACCTCCATGGTTGCACACTACAACTCACAAAGCCAGTCAGGAACCTAGGTGTCTTGTTCGACCCTCAACAGTCTTTTCTCCCTCACATTCAAGCCATGACCCGCTCTGCCTTCCCTCACCTCCATAACATCACCCGACTCCACCACTACCTCACCCCTCAGGCCACTGAAACTCTTGTTCATGCCTTCATCACCTCCAGGCTCGACTATGCAAACGCCATGCTTGTCGGCCTTCCCAACTCCTCCCTTCACAGGCTGCAGATAATCCAGAACTCTGCAGCCCGTGTCCTCTCCCGCACCAAACTCCGTGACCCCATCTATCCCACTCTCACCCGACTCTACTGGAGTCCTGTAGCTCAGTGGTTAGAGCACTCGCTTTGCAAATGAGAGAACTGAGTTCAATTCCAGGTCAGGGCGAAACCTTGGGCAAGTTTCCTTACTCCACACGCCTAATAATAATCCCTCCAAAACCAAAAACAATAATAAATTGGTCATATTCAATCTACGACTGTTTGTGGGACATTGCTGTGCGCAATTGGCTGCCGCGTTCGCCCACAAATATGCAGTCAATTCACTTTACAGTGTGTTCTGTGAAGCACTTTGGGACGTCCTCCCGACATGAAAAGCTCTATATCAAATGCAAGGATTATTATTATTATTATTACTCTTATTATTATTAGTGGCTCCCTATCCTTCAGAGGATCCAGTTCAAGATCCTGGTCCTCATCTACAAAGCCCTCCATGGCCTCGCCTCACCCTACCTCTGCGACCTCCTAACCCCCTACCAACCCGCCCGCTCCCTCCGCTCATTCGGCTCTGGCCTGCTCCACGTCCCCTGACCCACCCGCCCCACCATTGGTGGGAGAGCCTTCAGCCACTCTGCTCCCAACCTCTGGAATTCCATCCCCAATCACTCCCCATCGCCCTCTCCTTAGCATCTTTCAAGTCCCGCCTCAAAACCCTCCTCTTTGACCATGCCATCGGTCACCCCCTTTCTCCTCCCCTCCCTTCTTCACCCCCTGACCCAAGCTCGCGTCTGAAATGCTGTATACTGTCCAACGCCTTGGGACGTCCTCCCGAAGTGAAAGGCGTGATACAAATGTAATCTTGTTGTTGTTGTTGTTGCTGCTAGGCTTGTGGAGTGAGGAAAATTGTCTAGTATGTCGTCCTGCTTGGGTATCGAACCCGGGTCCTCTCGTTTGAGAGATGAGCATGCTAACCAATAAGCTACAGGACTCCACAGGATAGTAGACACTCGTTAAACCTGTCGCTTTCCCCGGGGACTCTTTCCACTCAGCTCCCGCTATTCCTACAAGCTAAAGCCCTAACGGGCTTGCCAGACAGTGATATCAATGACAATCTATGCTGTGTTAGCTGGTTAGACTCCAGGAGTATCCCAACTTGGGGTCCCCAAGCCTTGGTTCTTGCCAATCTTCACCTAATACTTTCCAGAATTAGGTAAGCAGGACGTGTCCCTCCAGGGAGAGAGTACACATTCCATTCCAGCAATTTATCTCTGGAATTTCCATGTGTAAATGGGTTGCATTGAATTCTCAGCTTGGTTTGGATACCCTTAAGCATGGTGATGGGTTTCTGCATGTGTCAGACATACGACTGACCAACAAAAAAAAATGCACAATGATAGCTATGCCAAAAATTAATGAATAGTGCTTTTCCTGTTAAAGTGTTACAAAAATCTGTTGAGTCAATGAAAAAAAATTGAGGTTGAGGCCCCCTTCACTGATTTAGTTTCAGTGGCATTTTCATGATTTGGCTTTACCTACTTCCAGATTTCTTATTCAAAACGTCTGATCAGAAATACCATAAAAATGAACTCATTAATGAAATTCACTGATTATTTCAGTTTGAGTGAATGTTGATCACCTGCTGGAAAATAACACAATTAATAAATTCAGCCTTGTGCCAGGACGGACAGTTAGCACATTTAATGCACAATTTATCCAAATAAAAGTTTAGACTCATTTGAATCTTTTACAACTTTTTGAGGGACCCTGAAGCCATATCTGAGAGAAAAAATAATTTGTTTTTCTGTTGATGGTTAAAATAAATGAAAAAAACAAACAAATCTGAAAGTAAAGATTGTAAATAATAAAAGCAGTGTTCTACTGTGAATTTGTTTTACTATATTATGTGTGGTAGCAGCATTAGAAATAGCGTTTAATGTTTGATTAAAAGAAATGTATAAATATTTCCTTTGCAGATATTTATGGAAGCAGGTGGTAGAGCAGATAAACTGCTCGTCATGGACCTAAATATTAAGGAACTACTATTTGGGTTTCGGGCTTTAGTGCATAAATCCATTTTTTTGTGCCCATAATTCAGCACTAGGTGGAACAAAAACTGTCAGTCTTACTCAGCAAAATGTTGTTGTGATGGTATCTTGCCTTTGCTCTTATTCTTGATGTGGGAGTGCTTGATTACTGACACTGGACACCAAAGTGAAAAGACTTGACATCCCTCACCTCAATAAGCACAAAACGTGACTGAAATGGATTGAATAAAATGATAAATATAGGAATCTAAGCCTTCAGCTTACATAATAAAGATAATGAGTGCAATTTACTCCTCCATAGTCACGATCTGTGACTGTGTATGTAATTGCAGTTTGGGATAAGAGGAGACATCCAAACATTGTAAGAATACATACAGTCAATCATATAGGACAGCATTTCCCACACACACAGAGCCCTGAACAATGTATTCGCAAAAACAACAACAACAAGATTCATTTATAGAGTGCCTTTCTTGTCGGGAGGATGTCCCAAGGTGCTGGACAGTTGGGTCAGGACCCGAGCAGGGGGGAAATGGTCAGGGTGAGGGGAGGAAAGGGAGGGAGCAAGGAGGGGGTAGAGAATCGAGAGGGGAGCTGAAGGCACGGTCGAAGAGAAAGGTCTTGAGACCGGCCTTGAAGGAGGAAAGGGAGGAGGCGGCGAAGGCACTGGGGGATAGAGTTCCAGAGCCTAGGGGCTGGGAGGCTGAAGGCCCGACCACCGATGGTAGGGTGGTTGGGGCGGGGGACGTGGAGCAGACCGGAGCCAGAGGAACGGAGGGTACGGGCAGGTAGGTAGGGGGATTGTAGGTCGGAGAGGTAGGAGGGAGCAAGGCCGTGAATGGCCTTGTAGGTGAGGATGAGGATCTTGATTTCGATCCTCTGGGGGATGGGGAGCCAGTGGAGGCGAGCGAGGGTGGGAGTGATGTGGTCCCGAAGCCTGGTGCGGGACAGTACATGAGCTGCAGATTTCTGAATGACCTGCAGCTTGTGGAGGGAGGTGCCGGGAAGACCGGCGAGGAGAGAGTTCCCATAGTCCAGCCTTGAGGTGATAAAGGCGTGGACCAGAGTTTCAGCAGCGTGAGGGGTGAGGTAGTGCCGTAGTCTGGCGATATTCTGGAGGTGATGGAAGGCGGTGCCAGTTGTGGCGCAGATATGAGGAAGAAAGGACAGCTCAGGGTCGAACAGAACCCCGAGGTTCCTGACTGGCTTTGAGAGGTGGAGAGTGCAGCCTT